ATCCTACGGGAGAAGTTAGGATAGCAATTGAATTTACCAAAAAGGTGCTTCAGATGTCTCCATGCATCTCTATCACAGCAGCAGCAATGTCCACTATCTTGGGTGTGTAAAGCTGCTGTTCTGCGTCCATGTCAATTATTTGCTCTTCATTGGAAAATGGGTACCGTTTTCACGTTAGTCATCTTGGAATCGAACCAGAATTTGGTCGAATATTCCAAGGGTCCAGTGAAGACCGCAATAGCAAGTGCAGGGAATATGAGAAACGCTGTTCATTACCATATTGAAGATTTCTTGAGATCAAAATGGCGAAAACCCTGAGAAGGTTCACCACTGATGAGCCATACCCTTACTTCTTTAATTTTTATTTATTGCAGTATAAAGGCTATAGAAATAATCTTCATCGATATAGGTGCTAAGTTATTGATATTTGGAATATGCTATGTTGAAAGAAGAAAATGGGATTCTATATATACATTCCTCCATCTGTTACAGAATGAATTAATTCTGTGATGAAATCTGCGCTACAAATTCTGACAATAATTGTTATTTGTTTATCTCCTGCTGTTCTATTCACATCGTCTGGTTAGAAATGAAATTTTCTGCTGCTATCTTCTGTATTGTGCTGATGGTCATAGTCATGTCTGATGAAGGTAAATTCTTTATATTTTGTTACTCTTTTTATGTATATCAGATATGTATAGTGTTATCTATTTTAAAATATAAAACATAACTATAACGTATGAAAAGTAGAAACTATTTTAGTCGCGTAAGATTCTTTTTAAAATTAAACAATTTCTACTGCCCTTACTGCAATGGAACAATTAATGGAAGGGCCTGGATCATCAGTGATAAACCCTCCCAGCGTTTTCGCCATTTTAATCTACCATACCGTTTCTAATTTTCATAACAGATGGTGCGCTAGTGGATGAGAGGGTAACACGCTCGATTCCCGACAGTCATGAACCGGGATTGAATCTCGCGTTAAAAATTGTTTAATATGTGAATAACCTTCACCTATTATTCATTGTTCAATTATCATAAACTAGGTTGCTCTTGCTGAGCGGTACCTATTAATGTGATTTGAACCAGATGGTGCGCTAGTGCATTGTAACAACTAGCGTATGAATGTGTTAATATAGTTTCTTTTAAGAGAAACACAAGTCGGAGAGATGAGCTTTTTTTATATAAGAGGATGGTCTTACAAGCTTTAAGGCAAGATGTCCTTCTACGGGTACACTTGCACGAAAGCTTGTACAATCATCCTCTTATGAAAGAATCTCTTCTCTCTGACTTGTGTTTCTTTTTCTATAGTGATTAAGGAGATTATCGTTGTTTCAATTCTAATAGTTTCATTTATCTATCCATCACATATTTAATTATACAAGTATCAGAGTCATCAACAATCAATTCTGTCATCGTTTGCTTTTGTGAATGGAATAAATACCCAAATATGGCAATTTCTTATAAGCATCGGTGGTTCAAGGGTAGAATGCTCGCCTGCCACGCAGGCGGCCCGGGTTCGATTCCCGGCCGATGCATTTTTTTTTTACAATTTTTAAAACTCATTTATATTATTATCTTATACTAGCCGAATGACCCGGGCAACGCCAGTGTTTTACCCGATTGAATGTTTTGATTCAAATACTATTTGTTACAATTATAAATTGTGGTCATGTGGCCTAGTGGTCATGGCATCTGCCCGGTAAGCGGAAGGTCGTGGGTTCGATTCCCATCCCTTGACACTTTTTTTTATTTTATCCATTCTGACCAAAATCTATCCGTGAACTTCACACAGTGAACTTCACACAGACAGAATAAGGCAATTATATAAGTAGATATAAAATGTCTGTTGTCTGTTTCGCGATAAACTCAAAAACTACTGAACCAATTGGTACCAAATTTTGCATGTCGCTTTTTATAAACCCGTATTGCTATTCTATGGCACTTCTACCATTTATTATTGATGTTATTTCAGTATGAAGGAAATTGCATTCGGAGGAATTCTCGGGCGAAGCCGGGTCATTCGTCTAGTTATTTACATATATGAATATGATAAATACATTTTTGCACTTAAATTACCCACTTAGTCGAAAAATATCAGTAACTCTCTGTCTACACGCTTTTGTATCATAGAATCACCTTGATTACTATCTTACATAATAGAATTTAAAAGGTCAGCGTTATCATCTATTGAGAAAACTGAAGAATATCCAATGATAGTTTCTTAAAATATTTCTCGTAGACTGAATAAGCATACAATCGAAACCAGGTTTCAAATCTGAAAAATATGAAGAAATTGAAGAATATAATTCATTTATTCAATTCCTTACTGCGTTGTAAAAATATATTGTGAGGATTTGGTTTATCAGAGTGTTGAACCCTCCCAGCAGTTTAGCCAATTTAATCTACCAGACCGATTCTTAGAGATCTAATACTGTATTGGATGATTCTGCTTATATATGCTACACTGAAGGATGGAATCTTAGAAATGGTATTCAAGCGAATTATGGACATAAGCTTTTAGGACAGTAGAATTACATGCCGGTAACTTTTTGCCGGTAACTTTTAATAATAAACAAATTGACATATTATAGTAAATATTGGTAAAAAAGGATATTACGAGTACTTGTCTTATGAGTTTGAATTATTTAATCATTTTGCTATTTTATTTTACCGAACCCTCACCTTTTCTTTGACTGTTTGTTGTACACAGCAATAACACGGAAGGAATTTATTTTTTAAGAATCTATCGGTGGATAATCTTTAGTTTTCTAAATAGATGACAACGCTGATCAATTATATTCGATAATGTATGGGGGTAATCATAGTTTATTTATGGCACAGAAGCGTGTGTGAAAAGAGTTACTGAGAATTTTCGCCTGAGAGGAATTGACGTATAAAAAATGATTTATCATAATCAATCAAGGCATAAATTTATAATACTGATAAAAAGATCAAATAATCATTATATATTCTATTTTTAACAATATATAATTTTAATAAACTTTAGCGTTTATGAGAAATTGAATCTATTTTAGACATGTATGATTCTTTTTATAGTTGAACAATTTTCTACTGCCCTTATTGCAATTATAAATTAACTAGCCGAATGGCCCGGGCAACGCCCGGGTTTTACCCGAGTGCGTATATATTTTAAAAACGTTTTAATTCAAATACTATTCGTTACAATTATAAATTGGCGCCAAGTACAATTTAAGTATTGTACTTTATGTAAAAAAGATTAAATAATTGTGCAAAACGGTATAATATATATATATATAATATAATATATATAATATAAGGGTATAATAACGGTATAAAGAAATAATGAGCCTATCGTTCAAATATAAAATATAATATAATATAATATCAACATATATAGTCACGACCGTCTTTCCTCATCGGCCTCAGTCACGGATGCGCGCGCATCATCATTATGATCATTATCATTATCTAATGATAATAATAATAATAATTATTATTATATTATTATTATTTTCAACATATATAGTCACGACCGTCTTTCCTCATCGCTGTCACGGATGCGCGCGCATCATCATTATGATCATTATCATTATCTAATGATAATAATAATAATAATTATTATTATATTATTATTATTATTTTATTATCAACATATATAGTCACGACCGTCTTTCCTCAATTCCTCATCGCTGTCACGGATGCGCGCGCATCATCATTATGATCATTATCATTATCTAATGATAATCTATATATATAAAATTGAATGTCTGTCTGTCTGTACTCTATAGATTCAAAAACCATACATCCAATCGCCGTGAAATTTTGGGATATTATTAGGTATATTACCGGGAAGGTTTTTGAAAAATAATTTCATGAATATCTTGAATATCCTTAGAGTTATTTGCAGATTTGTAGATTTAACTCGCAAGCAGCGCCCCCATTGTGACGATGATAACAAGTTTTCTTATCACTATATAAGTTTGTTATCTTAAATATTATTTATCAAAAGTAAGATTATCTCAGGATGACCTGGCAATTTATTTGAGACAAGAATAATGATACAATTCCAAGGCGAAGATACTATTCCTTTAACTTCCAATTACCGAGGGAACCAATTAATATTGATTTTATTCAACTTATCGAGTATTTTTCAAGGGACCGGGAAAAAATGTTCACTAGATAAAACTATGATTTTCTAATGTAGAAAATTAGGAAAGACAAAATTCAGGATGACACGGCACACAGGGACCGGGAAAAAATGTTCACTTTATCGAGAGATTCAAATTTACGAGTTTCAAATTATCAAAATATATCTCTTTTTTTTTATAAGTGTTTAGAGAATTGTTTTAACAAATGTTCGCTAGACAAACCTTTACTCGGTAAAACCTCGGGCGAAGCCGGGTACGTCCGCTAGTAATAATAATAATTATTAGTAAATTATTATTATTATTAATATATATAGTCACGACCGTCTTTCCTCAATTCCTCATCGGCCGCTGCCACGGATGCGCGCGCATCATCATTATGATCATTATCTTCCATAGAAGCTTCTATCTTTATAATTATGTATATTTACAAAAAGTCAATTCGCTCGCGCCTCTAGCGGTGAAAATGAGAGGTAATACCAGCTGACCTAATGTACATGTAAAGTTTGGAGCGGGACGTTTCACAAGAGTGACATCCACGGCTCCAATTTATAATTGTAACAAATAGTATTTGAATAAAAACATTCAATCGGGCAAAACACGGGCGTTGCCCGGGTCATTCGGCTAGTATATATATAGTCACGACCGTCTTTCCTCATTCCTCATCGGCCGCCTCTGTCATGGATGCGCGCGCACAGGGAGGTCACGTGCTCGCCGGCAGCCAACGGGCGCGCGCCGCCGGCATTACGTCATAGATTATAAACACAAGGTAATAAGGCCAAATAAAAAAATAGTGTGTGATAAGGCACAATTTGGATTATCTACTTATATAATTGCCTTATTCTGTCTGTGTGAAGTTCACTGTGTGAAGTTCACGGATAGAATTTGGTCAGAATGGATAAAATAAAAAAACCCACGACCTTCCGCTTACCGGGCAGATGCCATGACCACTAGGCTACCCTGGACATATTTTTCCGTTCACATTTTTATTTTTATATTTTAAAGACACACACAGTTTGGGGCGGGACGTTTCACAAAAGAGACATCCACGGCGCCAATTTATAATTGTAACGAATAGTATTTTAATTAAAATATTTTAAAAACACACAGTTTGGAACGGGACGTTTCACAAGAGTGACATCTATAGCGCCAATTTATAATTGTAACGAATAGTATTTGAATTAAAACGTTTTTAAAATAAATACGCACTCGGGTAAAACCCGGGCGTTGCCCGGGCCATTCGTCTAGTCTACTTTATAATTGCCTTATTCTGTCTGTAGTTGGTTGTAGCCAACCAATAGGAGAGCGCCATTCCAAAAAAAAAAATGCAAACGGTGACAGAGATGAAAACTGAAGAATTAAGAACGCATGACGCTCGTAACTGTATATAGAATGCTTTATTATTGGACATTTGAATTTCGAAACGTATCTTTGTAGTTTTGAAATGTTTGCACCATAATTCTAACCCACCATACCCATATCTTCAATTAAAAAGACATATATTGGATGAAAATATCATTTATTTTACCAATATTTCAGTTGGCTGAACGCCAACCTTTATCAAAGTGCTATAACATATTTAATGTGTGTCAACAACAAACTCAGCGCCACATAACGTCAACAGAAATAAGGTTTATAAATATTTTTAAAACTTAATTCTGTTGACGTTATATAGCGTTGAGTTTGTTGTTGACAAACATTAAATATGTTATAATACCTTGATAAAGGTTGTCGTTCAGCCAACTGAAATATTGGTAAAATAAATGATATTTTGATTCAATATATGCCTTTTTAATTGAAGATTTATTTATGGATTGCTCTATTTTCAATACCCATATCTTTTAATTAAATATTCTATTTAATTTGTTAGAAATAAAATCAGAATCTTCTAATCCTAATCTAATGTGATGTTTTAGGGCAATCTTCCCCACCCCCCTGTGAATGGCCAATGGGAGAATGTTTGTCCGAATGTCCAAAACCTAGAGTATACGTCTTTGGCAGATGTTTTGATGGCCAAGTCTGTTGTTCCATAAATTTCCCTTGAGAAATATCAATATTTCCGTTTATAATAAACCTTTATCCCAGCATCTAACTCTGTTGTTGTCTCTCTTTCTTACCTACCTCTCTACACATCTACAGATGACATCGTGGAATCTCAATGTAGCAATGTAACCTGTTGGATTATATAGCATATATGTTTTTATCGTATAGATAGAGGCTGCCTGGCCGGCATTCATAGTTATTCAAATAAAATTAACTTCGGCCAGTAAAAATTAGAATAATTTATAACGCTTTGCCAAATGTTTTAATTTTTGTTCGCTCCTGACGAGGACAAAATATTTTTGTCGAAACGTCGAGACAATGAAAAGATTTACTGGCCGAAGTGTCTTTTATTTGAAGAACTATAGATGTTTTTAGTTATACCGTAGAACCTTCCTGTAAAGGACAACACTTAATTGCAGAGCCAAAGTTTCCTTTAGAGAGTAGTGTCTTCTTACTGGATAGTTGCTAAATAGTAAAAATGATAATTATACAAATGAAAACTATCCTTTATAGAGTGATGTCCTCTAGCGCAAGTGTCCTCTCATGGAGGTTCTACTGTAATTCTAACTCTGCATAATATTTATCATACAATGATCCTATCATGAATTAACCATCTTATTAACGATCATTACTACTACGAGTGTTAACGATTACTACCTGATAGAACTGATGGCTTTGCTTAAATGGAGTTCAAACAATCTCAAGATCTCAGTTTCTCTTTAGAATACCAAATATAAACAACAACAGCTAATAGAAGCTAACAAAATAGATGATTTGGAAAAACATAGATACACCAATCAATAATTTATTTAATTCCTGATGTTTCAGTAATTCTCTGTCATTCTCATTAGGGAAATTATTAGTTTGAATCCTATATTATTCCCCTGAGTAGAGTTACAGCAGGTTACTGTAATGTCGAGAATTTAATAAATTATTGGTTGAGGTAGCTCTGTTTTTCCAAACCAAATTTCAAACAACAAATGAACTTTTTAAACACATTTTATATCTTAATTATTTTTGTTGTCAATCAGTTTATTGCACAGTCCTTGGCCTCCAACAAAGTGGGTTTGGGATTGTAGGGCTCGCTGTAGGGGATAGCCTGGATCTCCTTCTCCTTGGACTCGTGAATTACCACCTGGTCTGAGAGGGACTTCTTGGGCCAGTCCATGGGGAGCATGATCTTCATCTTGATGCCCAGGACTTCTTTATTCTAAATTTCTTCTTTAAAACCTCCGGCCTCATCCACTTCAGACGTTTCCCTGCTGGATAAAGTTTCTAATCTGAATTCTACGTGAGCCTATATTATTTATCATGTTATTCTATCTTGTTCTGTCATAAAATTTTCAGGATTCTTTTGTAAATATCTATTTTGAACTTTGTACATGCATTTATCTCTGTGGTGATATTTAGGTTGTTGAAACAGCTTCAGTTCTTACTTGTCCAACATTCCACCAGAACAACTAGAATTTGATATTGTCTGCACTGTCTGAACAGTAGATAAGCTATATGGATCAGAAAGACGATTGAGAATTCTTAAAATTATAGAAGGATAAATTCAAAGTGAATGAATAAAGCAGTTTGTGGGAAGTGCTAGCTATAAACTCCATGCAGAAGGTTGTTCTCAAACTCTAGTTGTTCTGATGGAATTTTGGACAAGTAAGAACTTAAGCGGTTTCAACAACCTTAATATCGCCACAGAGATAAAACATGTACAAATTTCAAAAGAGATATTTACAGAAGAAGCCTGGGAAAAAAAGAAGAAATAACAAGATAAAAAACCATGAGATATAATTAAAAAAGGCATCTCCTTATCGTGCAACTGAAAGTTGCTGATGGCTTGCGTCATCTATAGGAATAAATATAAACTATTCTCGTTGATTTTTAATTATTCCAGAATTGGCCAAATACCCATTCTAGATTAATCAAGAAAAGCTAACCACGGACGCGTTTCGGGCTGTTGGCCCTCATCAGCGTGGTGCAAGCTGTACCTCAACGACCAGAAAAACTAGTTATTCAGGCATCCTGAAAAATCATGAAACGGGTAGTTAAGGCCAGAATGGTGTGAGACCGCAACCCAATGTGAAAAAATAGTACAAATATGATATTGTACTAGGATAAGGTGCATAAATTATGAAAAAAGCATCTCTTTATCGTGCAACTGAAAGTTGCATCTTATCCCAGTACAATGCCACATTTGTACTATTTTTTCACATGAGATATAATGTTGGTTATAGTTGGATTCAAATTAGAAGCTTTATCCAGTATCGAAACGACTGAAGTGGATGAGGCGGGAGGTTTTAAAGAAGAAAGAGCAGAAACCATTCCAACAGGAAATACCCTATAGATGGACGATGAGGTCCGCAAAAATTTAATAAAAGTGTTGCAAGGTAAGTAATATATTATAAATTATAGTGCCATTTATCGATAAATTTGTAAATTCGTTTTTTAATGTGTTTCTGAAATGTGGCAAACCCTTTCATTTAGTAACCATCAATGCAGTATGGTCTGTATAGATATATTAATTAATAATATTTATTATAATAGACACAAAATAATTTTAAAAATTTATAAAGTATCGCGACTTTTGTGTTTTTTCAAAAATTATTTATTTATTCATGAATACCTATTTTGTCCCCTCAAAGTAATCCCCATGAGATATTATACACTTCTGCCATCGGTTTTTCCAATCTTCGAAGCACTTCAAAAAATCATTTTAAAAAATCTTTTTCAGCTCCTCCTTCGATGCCGTCTTTATCTCGTCAAGCGTAGCGTAACGTCGTCCTTTCATGGGCCTCTTCAGTTTAGGGAACAAGAAAAGGTCACAGGGTGCCAGATCTGGGGAATACGGTAGCTGCGGGATCATTAGTGTGTTAATTTTGGCCAAAAAGTCGCGCACAAGCAACGATGTGTGAGCAGGGGCGTTATCGTGGTGCAAAAGCCAATTTTGTTCTTCCACAAATCCGGGCGTTTCTGGCGGATTGCTTCGCGCAAAATGCGCATAACTTGCAGGTAATATTCCTTATTGACCGTTCTACCCTGTGGCAAGAACTCATGATGCACCACGCCCCTGCAATCGAAGAAAACTGTCAGCAAAACCTTCACATTCGACCGAACTTGGCGCGCTTTTTTCGGTCTTGGTTCGTGCGGCAGATTCCATTGAGATGATTGAGCTTTGGTTTCCACGTCATAACCATAAACCCACGCTTCGTCACCAGTTATGACCCTCTGGAGCAAATTTGGGTCGTCGCGGACAGAGTCCAACATCTCATTAGCAATGTTCATGCGATGCTGTTTTTGGTCGCAATTGAGCAATTTTGGTACGAATTTCGCGGTGACCCGTCTCATGCCCAAATCATTGATAAAATTCGAATGGCACAAGCCAATCGATATGTTTAGGTCCTCAGCAACTTCTCTAACGGTGATTCGACGACTGGCCAATATCATTTTCTCCACTTCATTAATTTTTTCGTCTGTTGTTGAAGTGCTCGGGCGCCCGGCACGCTCTTCGTCGTTCACATCTTCTCGGCCTTCTGAGAACATTTTGTACCACCGATAAATGTTGCTTCGGTCCAAGGTAGCTTCTCCGTATGCCTCAGTCAACATTCGGAATGCATTCGCGCACTTAATTTCGTTTTTCACACAAAATTTGATACAGGTGCTTTGATCTATTTTTTTAATAGGTAAAAATCGAAGACGATCCAAAACACCTGCAAGCAAAGCAGCCGTCAACAATTAAGTGAACATTAAATGGCCGAGCTTGTCGGCAAAAAGATCGAAATTCGAATATACGTAACCCGCGAAAATTCAAAGGTCGCGATACCTTTTGAACACACCTCGTATAGCAATTTTTATATACACTCATGACATCAAACCTTGAAGAAGTTGTACCTTTTAGAATTATATCAGGATTCAAACAGTAACT